GTCCCACTTTGTTACCCTCAGTAGAGTGCTGTGGCCTCACAGCTCACAGCAACCTCCAAACTCTTGGGCTTAGGTGATTCTCTTGCCTCAGCTTCCGAATAGCTGGGACTACAGGTGCTTGCCACAACGCCTGGCTATTTTTTTGTTGCAGTTTGGCTGGGGCCGGGTTTGAACCTTCCATCCTTGGTATATGGGACAAGCACCCTACTCACTGAGCCGCAGGCGCTGCCCTGTACTTTTTTGTTTTTTGAGACAGAGTCTCACTTTGTCACCCTTGGTAGAGTGCTGTGGCGTCATAGCTCAGAGCAACCTCAAACTGCTGGGCTTAAGCGATTCTTTTGCCTCAGCCTCCCAAGAAGCTGAGACTATAGGCACCTGCCACAAGGCCCAGCTATTGTTTTGTTTGTTTGTTTGTTTGTTTGTTAAGAGAAAGAGTCTCACTTTGTCACCTGTGGTAGAGTACTGTGGCATTACTGCTCACAGCAACATCCAGCTCTTGGGCTTAGGCAATTCTCTTGCCTCAGCCTCCCAAGTAGCTGGGACTCCAGGTGTCTGCCACAGTGCCCGGCTATTTTTTGTTACAGTTTGGCCAGGGCCAGATTCAAACCTGCCACCCTCAGTGTGTGGCCAGCGCCCTACCCACTGAGCCACAGGTGCTGCCTGGCCAAGCTATCTTTTTGAGACAGGGTCTCACTCTATCTTGGGCTAGTCTTGAACTCCTGAATTCAGGCAGTCCACCTACCTTTGCCTCCCAGAGTGCTAGGATTAGAGGAGTAAGCCGTGGTGCCTGGCTGAAACTTTGTATGTATTAAACAATAACACCCTATTCCCTCCTTCGCAGCCCCTGACAACACACCTTTCTACTTTCTGTTACCATGATCCTGACATGATCTAACTACCTCATATAAGTGAAATCATACAGTGTTTGTCCTTTTGTGCTTGGCTTATTCTATTCAGTAAAATGTCCCCAAGGTTCATCTATTTTGTAGCATATGTTAGAATATTCTTCCTTTTTAAGACTGAATAAGATGTCATTGTATGTATATACATCACTTTGTTTTAGATAGTCATTTTAAAGCTCTATAAAATAAAGTGAAGAGAGGACACTTGACAGTCTACTAAAAGCCTACCTCTTTTTCTTGGGATCTTGTCATAAATGGTAGGAGCATGATTTCAGTCCTAACAAAGATGATTGTGGAGGGACAGCACTGTCCCTTCTTTGGGGCAGTCTCAGTGGGGAAATTGTAGCTCCTCTAATGGAGTCATAGGCAGTATTCCAAAGGGTGTTTGATCCTGGAGTTGAGTAGCAACCTACAGGGAGGGTCCTCAAAACAGGTTGGGACTTTCTCCTGCTCATTTAACTCTGTGTTGCTCCACACAGTATCGTGAAGAACGCTTCCGACTGACCAGCGAGAGCACCAACCAGAGGGTCCTGTGGTGGTCCATTGCTCAGACTGTCATCCTCATCCTCACTGGCATCTGGCAGATGCGTCACCTCAAGAGCTTCTTTGAGGCCAAGAAACTGGTGTAGTGCCCTCTCCATGTAACCTGTGCTTCTCACTTCATTTATTTGGCACTTCCCCCACCCATTCCCTTATCCACATGGATTTTGAGGGAAAAAAATGAAAAAGAAAGTAAGTCACATTGGTTCCATAGCAACAAACCATTAAGATCAACCAGTTGTTAACCCTGGTTCCCAAGGACATTGGTTCAAGATTTCAAAATCATTCTTAGGACTTGTGAAGCATTGGAACTAAGCCAGGACTAAGTCTGACTTCTTTTGTCTCCAGTGATTCCATTCTGTTCTATCACAAAATGAGCAAATGAAAAATGTCTTTTTTACCCTCTGCTCCTTCTACATCTGCTTATGCAATAGGTAGCTGGCATGCCCAACAGAGGACCTGCCTGACTGCCTGCTGGTCAGTCCTGCGTTCACTCAGTGGGTTTGTGAATATAAATAAGGGGCAGGTCTTGGCCCCAGAGGATTGAGATGTTTTTCTATATATTAGAACTATTTTTTGATAAATTATATATTTTCCTTCCTAGTTGAAGTATTGCGGCCTATAGCTAGCTGAAAACACCAATGCAGTCCTGCATTCTGTTTATTCACACATTTTTGATAACTACCATGGTAGCTCTTAGGATTTCAGCCTTCTGGGCCAGAAAGCAGATGTTACAGTTGCTCTCAAGACCGTATCAGAAGGCCAAACTTGGACACCTGTGATTTCCATCCTGTAGGGCAGGCGTCCTTAAACTATGGTCCGTGGGCCACATGCGGCCTGCGTAGGACATTTATCCGGCCCACTGGGTGTTTTTGCCACCACTGCCTGTACTGCTTAGCAGCCAACTTGTCCCAGGGCCTGCAGTCCAGCCCTCCAACAGTCTGAGGGACAGTGAACTGGCCCCCTGTTTAAAAAGTTTGGGGACCCCTGCTATAGGGCCTCAGCGTCAGAGATAAGATAGTAACAGAGCTACCACAGGGCAGTGTACTCTTACCTTCTCTCTTCCCTTACCTTTTTTTTAAGCTGTGGGAAATGTTTTCTTCAAGAGAACCAAATTTGGTTCTTTATACAGAATTTTCCAGTGAAATAAAACGTGTTATAGTAGCTGTGTTTGAGATGAAATAAGGGGTTGAGGGGAGGTACAAAGGGGAGAAAGGAAAGTTTCCTGGCCTGGAACTACCCTTGCTAATGACCTGGAGTGGACTTCAATGTGGACTTGTGGTGCTAAGACCTGGCCTAGATGGGCCAGTTTCTAGGGACTTTGGGAATGGACGTGGTGGGTGCTGGACCATTCACAAAGGCCAACCAAGTAGATAATGTGTCAGCAAGGAGTTATCTGAAGAAATTAAGTACCTGAATTCTTAGCTCTCAAAATCATAAATGTGAACAAATGGTAGTATACTTTCCTCATGCCCTCCTAAATAAAACTTAATACCATTAGTTGCCCATTCTTGATATTTTATTTCATAGTTTTAGTATAATATATATTTGAAATGTTTATTAAATTTATCTGACCTACAGAACTAAACTCTTGTATTTTTCCCTATGTTCTATACTATTCCGTATATGTGTACTTCTCTTTAGTTAGAAACATATATGCAATTTAGTTCTATAGGTTTTTTCTTTTAATTTTTTTTTTTTTTTTTTTTTTTTTTTGAGACAGAACCTCAAGCTGTCCCCCTGGGTAGAGTGCC